GAGAGAAGGGGTGTTGACAATAATTTTTAAATGCTTGAAGAAGGACCTTGTTAATTAACACAGTTACCCATGTAAACATAATGTATAACAATTTCTGTTCCAGAGAGGAGAGCAAAATCAACTTTATGCATTACTAATAAAAAAAGTAGAAGAAATCATGGTTTGATACTATCAGATATCCTGTGTTTAGCTGCATTACTAGTATGAAACAGGCAAAATGTCTGCAACCTAATTACAATCCAACAGAAAAAAAGTAAATTATAACTAGTTACTGACAATTTAATTTAATTTCATTCCATAAGTTAGCTGTGCCTCCTGCTTGTCCTTGTGATCACAGCAAGTCATGTTATCTCATGCTTTGATCTGTATGGCACCATTTGGGGGTGAATATACTCCTTACTTAAGAATGGCAATGAGCTCTTTAATGCAAATATTGCTAACTTGGAAAATACGTTGTATGTAATTTAGGAAAGTGGTATGTCAAACTGTCATAATGACTGTTCAGTCAAGTCAGTTTTATAACACATGGATGGAATGGATGGGTAATAAAAACAATGCCAATGGTGCAAAATTACTTCAAAGGCTCTTCTTCATATCAGCTGTGAACAATAGGAAGAATCCGTTAAGGCAATTTCCATATATAAAGAATACAACAGGAACAGTAAGCTATTTTTTATTTTTCTTTGTATTCTTCCTTCTATTTTTAAAGAGCAATAGCTAAATAAAAATAAGCATACATGTGAAACAACATTCACATGTCGCTGGAAAAGATATGTTTCTTTTGAGCTCTTGCTCAAAAAATTATCTGTGGTACAAATGTCTTGATTATACTTAACTGCCTGCGCTTGCTGAAAGTTGTATTCTGTTCCTCAAATAATGCATAATACTAGTTCACTACTAGAAGATTTTTAGTGTCAGTATTTAAGGCACTGAAAGTAGATTGTTTAGGTCTCTCTCTTTAGGCAAGGGACTCCAAATCATGGTTAAGGAGGTTTTAGGAGAGATGCAGAGTTTTACACTATGACCTGCTGGCATACTCTTTTCTTTTTCAGCGGCAGTGAGATAGTAGCAAGGAAGAGAGTAGCAAGGAAGAGTAGCAGCAGCTTTTGAATTACCAGTTTACAGGTTGTCATATTAAGGTTAAGTATTGCCAATTTTATGTTAGCACCATATGTCAAATTGTAAACTGTCTCCACACTGAACTCACAATATAAGCAACTAAGCTCCTTCAGTTGAAGCAGGAATCTCTATAGCTACCAAGAAGAATGCAAGCTCATTCAGGACTCGAATTCCCACAGACAGATCAAAGTACATCGAGATGTGAACAGCAATGAGGTCATTTGTTTGCAAACCATTTTTACTGCAAATAAGGTTCCATCATCTAATTTCAGGAAGTGCTTTGAAAAAACTGCAGTCTGACAGCAGTAGAAAAACCCACCTCCACTGAGCTTGACCTACACTTAAATAAAAAACAGTCAAAACCAACGCAGACCTCTTTTATCAAATAAACAGCCCTCAATTGTGAACAAAATTATGGAGACCTCAGGGATGACAGGATGACAGGCAGCATCCCTTCAAGACAGGGCTTTGGTACAGGCCATCCAAGCCTCCACATGCATGGCCATGTAATTATTTAGCATGTTAAAATACACTATGTTCAAAGAATTCACAATTTCATAATACCTACTTGTTCTCCATAACACTGCCATTGAAAATCCGTCATTCATGCTAAGAAAACAGCTTCCAGGAAACATAACGGGCATAGTACATATATAATTACTATATATATACATATGTATCTGGTTTACAATGCTACATCATCACAATTTCTGTATTTTCCTCATATGAGACACCAAAGGACAGGTCATATGCATGCTTTCAGATGGTGTTGAGAAAGGCAAGATTGCTGCACAGCATTGGTTTTAAGATAATGGCGATTACCCAATACAGAACTTTCCACAGTCTTTCAACTAAGATTATACTAAAAAGACAAATTGCTATCAACTAAATATTAAAGAAACTTAAGAGTCTAGGTGACAGGACTTTCTGATTACTGGTTTCAATTAATGTTCATTTGCTCAGTCCCATACAGTATCAAGGAATTCCCACATAAGAAGTATGTGAGGTTAGCATTCTTTCCCAACGTCATCCAATTTCCACAACCTTTCAACACAAGGCATATTCATCACTGTGTAAGAGCTTCAATGGCTTTCCAAACCTCAGTTAAGCACTTGAGTATGAGTGGTAATATGAATAGCAGTACAGTGCAGCTTTATAGAATTGCTGTCCTGAGAGCCAAGGGACTGAGCAAGCCTAGTGAAGTAAGCAGACTTCTGTTAACTTACAACCCTCTGAACGAGGGGGAAAGACTACAATTACTTTAGAAATTCCATATTTTTAGACATTTATCTACATTATGTATGTGCAACTTATGTTTACATTTTCATTAGCTGAAAAAAAAAGAAAGATAAAGGCTAATCCTTCATTTACTCCTCACATGGTCTTGATGTTTTAAAAAATCTGCAATTCTACATTTTATAATGTAGATAAACTGTAAAATATTGATGTATACTCTACTGTCCATGGCAACTTACTGCATAAATTCACGTCTGTGCTCATTTGTACTACAAGCTTACATTCTGCAGCTATGCAGTTTTCAATTTATCTACGTTATTTCCACAATCATTTGAACTGCAGATACACTGTTGCCATTTTGCTAATGTTGCTAAGATACCAGACTGATAAATTCTTCCAGTCCCACAAACTCAAACCACCGTATTTTTAAATAGGAGTCCTGATTTTGGCAGGGTTCACCTGCTAAAGCGCAGAGCTAGACCTGAAGCCTCTGCATTCACATCATGCTCTGGAGGGCCTGCAGTGCTGAGAAGCATGTAATCTTCCACTTACTGGGATGGTCCTGCCCTTCCGCAGGAGGTGAGAAACGTTCCATATTGTCCATACTGAATCCATCTGTACTTACACTTAACAAAACAAAAATGCAGCTAAAGGATAAGAGCATTTAAATAATAGTAATAATAATAATACAAGATCCCAAACATTTGATGCTAAGTAAGAAAGAATTACAAAATGGGCATGTGCAAGAAAGCCCTTGTTTTGTCTTGTCAATGAGATTTGCTGTGTAAAAAACACAGAAGAAAAAAAACACCTGACTCATTTGGATACCTAAGGAATGAGAAACACAGATGTTCACCTCCTGAATGGAAGTTTATATGTAACATTTTTCAAAGTATGTTCTTACCACCCTAAAAAGAAAACTAACATCAGATTCTGATCTACTACTCATATACTCTACTACTCATCTACTATAATAATTTTTTATTATTTACTGTATAATAAAACATTTTCCATGTATGGAGACACATAAATCACCATTCAGTTAAATAAAATAATAAAGTTTATTACTCTTGTTGCCTCTTACAGGAAGTCCAGAATTGGGGCATGCAGGTAAGTCATTAGCAAAAAATTAAAGTTCCAAGAAAGAAATACATTCCTATTTATGTACCAACCCACATTCTGTTACTTCAGTGTTAGAACAAGATGGGAGCCGCTGGCATGTGCAGTAATTAGCAGTGATTTTGACAATGCAAACAAAACAACCACCTCATCTGTTTGGACTCAATTTATGGATCAGATTTCACAACAAGTAAAGGGCAGAACACTGGCTCTGGAACGATTTATTTTACTGTAAACTCATTTCTCCTTCATGCTTGAAGTGATGGAAATTATTTATATGAACAATAACCAGAGTAGCTTCAGTCTTTCAGTACAGGTTATAAATATTATGTTAAGACAAGCAAGGCACTCACTTTATTAGAAGTGTCAGATACTTAGAACAAAGAAATATATATGGAAGTCAGCTGTTCACTTAATAATTTCCCAACTCTTAAGCACTGGACTTTAGTGTGCTGGTGTTCTCCAAATAATGTGCCAGAAGGACTATGTAGAGATTGAAGGTGTGCTGGCTTGTGATACCTGTATTGGTATGCAAGTTAAACAACTGCACATTCAAGATGTATCTAATTAGACAGAAGGAATACAGGTGAGAAGGATGCTTATAATGATATGGCACAACCATCTAGTACAGTACCAACATCCAACTGATAAGTGCAGCAAAGGCAAAACATATGGAGAAGAGACACTGCAAGGAAGGAAAACAACTAAATACTAGTGGGAGGAGAAAAGAGGCAAAGGCAGTAAAAAAAGCAAAAAAATACAGGAAGCAGAATTTGATTTTAAACAAAGTGAGACTAAGTGACTAGAGTATACATTTAAACAAGATTAGCATCTTTAACATAAATTACTTTCTTTCCCTCCTTCAGTTCACCTCTTTAACTATTGCTATATGAATGTTAATACTTTCACTACCTGAACTGTTTTCTTAAACTAAAAAAAAAAAAAGCTTCCCAGTTCTTTCTTCTTCATGTTACTTTAGTGATTATACAGTGTTCACTGTAGAAAGTTTTCTTTACAACCTTTTATCTAGTCAAAAATTCAGCTCATATTGTGCTTTTTGCTGCTTCTAACAACACCCCTACTTTTGGCTTTTGTTTACAAAGGTGAAGCTGAATGAAGCAAAACAGATTTATCTCTAGAAGTAATGATTAAAACAGCCTGTTAAATTTTGAATCAAAGAAACATTGAAGACATTGAGACTTCCAAAATCCCACTGAAGAGAAGAAAGACCAGGCAGCTGCAGAAGAGACATCCTTTTACTTGATAGGAAGTTTTACATTTGTCAGCAGCCTGTTAGTATCTGCCTTGTATGAGAAGTCATCCCACACAACATAGTTGTTAGGCAAGCACACAGAAGCATGTTCAACTCCTTTCAGGTTTAAAGCCTCTATCTGAAGAACACATTAGCTTAACAGAAAAGGATCAAATTTGGTCATATGAAACCAAAACAAAATAAAAACCAACAAAAAACCCTCACGACACATAAAAATACAACCCAGAGAAACTTTAAACTGAAATTAACTTACCAATGGATGCATCACCATCCAAGAGATTGTCATCTTCAGAGGTCTGAAAATCCATAATTACACCTGCTCCATCTAAAAGCTCCTCATCGCTGCTTGCACTAGTTATGCTGTTGTAACTGTTTCGATAGTAGCCTCTATGAAACAGCTGCTCAGACTCCATTTAGCTGCTTTATAACCTGTATGTACACACAAAAAAAAGTTACTTCCTACTTGAATATTCAAAAAACACTAAGAAATTTGTATCAAAATAAAATGAGTATTTCATGCTTTGGCGAAAGCTTTTTATGGTGACAGTATTACAAGTTACAAAAAGGTAGCAGCAGTACAGAACAAATATAATCTAGAAGAACGGAGAGCTAAAGCAGGATATCTTACCTGTTATGACTAGAGAGAGGAAAGAAAGTAATGAGCACTCAGGCACAGCATATAGTGGAAAATCTAATTAAATACAGCACAGGCAGGAAGTACATTGGCAAAGGAGAACAGTGAACAAACAGCTACATTAATAGCAGAAAAAGCACGTAAGGCTGTGCCGTTTTCTGCAGTCTAGTACCACAAGCATTTTTCTGCTCTCCAACATCAGATATCCTGCTTCTCTTTCAAGCTCTACATTTAAAAGGTCAAGCACAGAAGCGAGTCAGCTGAGGGAACCACTTCCAGTCCAGAGACATGTCTATGGAAATGACAAAACTGGCCAGTAAAAACTCTGTTTTACAAGACATTTGCTGACAGCTGATCCAAGGAATCAGTAAATCTCCAGAATGTGCTGTTATACCATAAAAACACTTATCTGTATCTCAAAGGAAAAAAGGCAGCTAAGGCTTGTTATTTCCCCAGAAGGGGGGTAGAGTGAAAACTTTACAGTACTCTTCCAGATTCCAAATTTGCTTGAAATAGTTCAAAATCAAAAACAACTACAAAAACCTACCAACAACAAAGAACCTAACAAACACAATCAACACAAAAATCACAAAACAACAATAAACCACAATCATTTATCTTAACAAAAGAGCTCTTTTTCAAACTAAGAATCCTGATTAATCAAAAAATCAGTGTAAAATTAAATTTTTCTGTTCAGTACTAACAACTAAGCTAAAAGGCAGTCATCTGTCTTCTAACTCTCATACATCTTCCAACAACTAGAGTACAGCACTTAGTGAGAATGCTATACGCCCATGAAGCAAAAGGAGATGTAATAAAAATTATCAATACAAGCTTTACACATAACAATATGTTCTACAGTAGAGAAAATACAGGAACAGGAACCAAAGCGTAATTTTCTGAAAATTTTTGAAAACAATATACAATTTAAAATGGTTTAACTGTTAAGAACTTTCAAAAGTAACTACTTGTTATAAAATAGTCAGGCATTATATATATATGTATATATATAATCTTATTTTTAAGATTTCAACTACTGCATATTTCAAGAACAGATAAATAATATGACAGAGACACTTTCCACACCCATTCTTAAATTAAAATTTTAACATGTATCCATATATATATTGGGATCTATGCCAGAACACAGGCCCAAAAAATGAAACCAGAATTAAGCTTTTATCACTAAATTCTAAACCTCCCATATTAAACTAATTTAAAACCTGCTTTTTTTTAGTTTTTAAATAAACCTGCCCATCAGAAAGAAATTTTAAACTCAGAAATTACAATAATTTTACAACAGTTCTACAACAAATGCCATGTTGCAGCTACTCTTAATCTCACCAGCATGAAAATTGCATTTCCATTTTTACCACAGACTCGGCATATCTAGCTTTCCTTTATTTATTCTATCTGCAATATGAAAACATTTAAGGAGGATGAGAACATCACTCATCTTCCAAACTCTGGATTTGGAAAATGAGTGAATGAATTGTGAGGAATTTCTCACTGAATTTTTTTAGACCATTATCAGATTTCTTTGCAAAAAGGCACAAAAAAAGTCTTAACACTTCAAGTTAAGCTTCAACCACAAAAATTCTTACGGACACTCAATAATTCAAACTTAAAATTTAGGGAACGCTTATGCTAACCAACCTTTACAAAAATACATAGGAAAATCATTCTCTGTAGCACCCCAAAAAAAAAATCAAAAACTTTTTTTCTTTACTGTGAGGGTGGTGATGCACTGGGACAGCTTGCCCAGAGAATGATGCCCCATTCCAGGAAGTGTTTAAGACCAGGTTGGATGGGGCTTTGAGCAACATGTCTAGTAGAAGGTATCCCTGCCCATGGCAGGAAGGCTGCAACTGGATGATCTTTCAGGTCCCTTTCAACCCAAACCTTTCTGTGATCCTCAGGAAAGGATCTTGGTCAATATTTAAGTCATCTTTGGAAAAACAAAGTTATGAAGAAGCACTGCCAGTTAACTAAGGCTATTTGAGTTTTGAAACCAAAAACTTCTATTTGAATTTATATAGTAGATTCCTAGGTTGCCTTGAAATAGAAAATAAAAAGTCAGTTTCCAAAAGTATCCATAGGTAAAGCTTAGACTAGTTTCATTCACAGCTGCTTCCAAAATAAAACTGACATACATGGATGAAAGAGACCTACTCAAACATGAACAGAACAACATAGACCAAACCACAGGAAAAAATAATATTTGTAAAGCACAGTCTTAGCTTTAAAACTGCAAAAAAATCTCTCAGTATTCATATTTATGTCCTACTGAATCTTAACAATCTTAGCTAAAAACACTTAATATAACACCAGCCTGAAAAAGTTTCTTCATTTTTATGACAAATACCAGTATAAAATATCATCACTATAGACCTGATCTTCACTAAGGCAGAACCTATAATAAATACTCATTTTGGTAGTACTTTTCATCACCTTAAAGTTAAAACAAAAAAAAAAAAAAAAAAAAAAAAAAAAAAAAAAAAAAAAAAAAAAAAAAAAAAAAAAGGAAGCCAACAAAAAAATAACTAAAACCTGAGAGCCTAATTACCGGATGAATACCAAACTCATGCTTCTGGTCATATGATGACAAACATTAAGGGTATTGACTTGAGTTTGTATAAAGTATTTGAAATCACTGCATCTCCACTCCCTAAAATGTCATGGCTACCCACATTGTGACAGCTGAAGAATTATACCCACTGGCACAAAGATAGAAGCCTACCTGATGGAAGGCATTGCTTCTTTCACAGCCAGTTACTAATGGGAATACTTTATAGCATTCAACCAAACTAGCTGGATCAGCTGAATACTCCAATTTAAGCATACTAAACCCCATTTATTGATACATTAGGAAAAACTCTGCTATCAGAGTTGGAGAGTAGTCTCCTGCACAGGTAGAGTAACAAGCAGCTCCATGAGTGGTAAACTCTTAAAGGGGTTTTCAGTCAACAGTTTAAAAAGAAGGACAGAAAAGAAAAAGAAAAGCTAACATCATAATCCCTTACCATGAGCCTGAACTAAGTATGAAAGCAAGTATGACTCAAAAGTTTTAGCTTCACAGACAGGTACTGATCCTTAGTCAAATCACAATAAACAACTCTGCCCATGGCTGCTGCTTTGGAGCAAGGCAAAAGTACATGAAAGATACAGTACCAATATCTAAACTAATGGGACAGTACCTACATTTGCAAATATTCAGTCTAGGAAAGAAAAGATGAAGAGTTCCCTTGACCAAAAAAAAAAATCTCTGATGTCCCTTCTGTGATCATATTCAGATGAGAATTAACATTGCAACTTGTTAAGACAACTGAAAGGTAAAACCCATCCTCCTCTTTTGAAGGGTAGGAACCATGACTGCAGTTTCCATTGTAGACAACATAACTATTGTTTGTTGAGTCTTAAGTCATTTTCTGTTTGATGAAAAGACACTACAACAGTGTCTCTTTACAGTTTTTAAAGGCTTTTGCTCCTTTTTAATGTGGACTTGTGTTGAAGTCATCTGAGGGTTATACAATGAACCAGAGCTTTTACACATCACCAGAAATCTCATTAATCATACTACTTTTCTTCAACTCATCATAAAAATGCACTGACCAGTCTATAACTTGGATTCCTAAGCTCAGGGTCACACCTGAGTGGAGAATCTTTCAAACAATTTCATTCAAGTTCAATATAGTTTAGGACTGTCAAATTGAAATGTGAAAAAGCACCACTATCCTCAGTTTAATTCCAAGTGTCTTCTCAATAACAGCATCAACCACAGATTTTTAAGGTCTTAATTAAAATTTATTTAGAGACACAATAAAGCCACTGAGATAAAGGAAAAAAATCCTACAGAGGTTTCCAAAACACGGGACTACTACTTGTGAAATCTTGTGGGGACCCCTGGTGGTTTCTGGTCCTTACTCTCCCTACTAACAAATTTCCAGCTTCAAAGGAGTGAAGAAAACACCAGCTCAAGAGGAACATATCCACTGTACTCTGTTAGAAGTGACAAACCTTTGGTCACCAGAAACAAAAAAGGCTAGGCTCTCCTCTGGTACGTTTAACTGTAGAATCCCAGAAGATAAGGGGCTAATGTGCATGTCCCAAACAGTGATAACTGGATGGATGTGGAGCCAACCAGGGATTGATGGTAATAACAGACATTTGTTGGTACTAACATAAGAAAGAACAAGATTGGCTGGAGAAGGGGCCGTGCAGAAGTAGGATAGCACTCCCCCAGGATAAACATCCTTGGTCTAGTTCCAAGAGAGAGGCACAACACAGTACAGCACAAGCACAGGAATGAGGCCAAGATGTGGGCACAGACTGTAGAGAGGGATCAAGGCTATCCCAGACCCCTGAACCTCTCAAGCCCATTTCCAGAAGGGTCTGAAAGAATGGACTGCACACAATGGGTAATTTGCACAGAAAAGAAGAAACCTGCCTTCCTGGTGAGGAAACATATCTATTAAAAAGTACTCCCAGCAAGTTCAGGAGTGCGCCCAGCACCTTGGACACCTCATCAGCTGTACTGATGCTGGAATCAGACTAGTGATCTCTTTTTCTCTCTTCCCTTTCACCCTACTCCTTTATCCAAAGCCCACTGCCATGCACTTATATAGACTAACATAGCAACTTTCATGCCAAGTGTGTAATGCACTAACAAAACTTTCTGATTGTCTGCAGGCCCCTCTGACTCTTGTTGTCCCTTTTGACTACGAGCATTTATGAATCTTGAGTGCTTCCTTCCCATTAAGGGAGACACATCACAGTAGTAGAGTGATACACTCAC